CGGGGCCGGGGACAGGGGCTCTGTGCTGTCACACTGGTCCCTGCTCCCGATGGCCACGGGCGCGGGCTGGTGAGGCACAGCCCTGTGCATGCGGCTTGGGAACTCCCGTGGGCTCCGGGACTGACCGGCGCCCAGCGCCTGGTCCTCCGGGCGGGTCATGCAGGGCCCCTCGTGCTGGCTGAGTTTGCCGGGGCCTGGGGGACTGGACCTGGGAAGATGGAAAGGGGACGAGGAAGAAGTTTCTCTGGGCAGAAGTGCCAAACTGCAGACGGAGCCGGCACAGGTGAGCGCCTTGGCGGTGGCTCCCTGTGGGTGGTGTGGGAGCTGGCTGACAGCTGTCAAGGCCCCTGCCATGCCATCCACCCTGTAACCCGATGCCACTGTTCAGACCCATGCCACTGGAGGCAGCAGCCACCCTAAAGCCCAAGCAGACACTGTATTGGGGGTCGGGGTGGTTAGCTGTGAGCAAGCCTTCCACCTTCCCTGCCCTTTCGGGGGAAACACGTTCGTTGTCCAGTGTCTCCCTGACGCTGTCGTTTTAATTTCCGCTTTGTTCAGAAATAGGACTGCTTAGACGCAAAGGCAGCAGGCTGTGGAAATCAGCTCGGTGACAGAGTTGACTCATGAGATTTTCTTTTTCCATCCAAGAGCTGAAGGGGCTCTCGGGACTCAGGCTCAGGCAGCGCGGTCCCTCCAGCCTCTGGTCCCCTTCTGACGCTCCTGGCCGCGTTTGTCTTTAGGATGGCAGGGCCACTTCCTCTGAATGGGCGTTTGTATTATTTGAGCATGTCGTAGCTGAAGGCACTGAGAAGCCGCCAGTGAAGTGGATAAGCCTCACACCGTGGAGTTTGCTACAGCACCGTGAAGGAGGGCGCACTGCATAGACAGGGGCTGTTTCCTTCTTTATGACAGTAACTTTGTTTCTCCAAAGGTGACTGCTCTATAGGACCCCACATGGCTCAAGAGGGCTGCTCTTGGGGGTTCTGCTGTGTGCCTCCTTTCCCCCTCTTCCTTTGCTCCTCTCCCCCATCTCCACCTTTACTTTCACAAAAGGAAACAGTTTAAAAGAAATACAGAGAGCCTTAGAATGTCAGCCACCATCAGGAAGGGAGGAGTGAAGCCCCCTGCCACGATGGCCCCGCCTTTATACCCTGCCAGGTGCTGTGCCCATCCCCTGAGCTTGTCTTCATCATGCACGCAGGAGTGAGTGACAGGCAGTGTTGGCCCTGTGTCACATGAGGAGGCTGAGGCTGGTTGGCCCAGGGTCCCTTCACTGTTGGAGGCAAAGCCAAGCGTTAATCCAGCCACTGACACCAGGCGTCACATCAGGTGGATCTGGGCGAACCATGCCTCCCGTGGAGGGCCTGGTCCTTCCCCACGGCCCTCGACACATCCTCCCCCACCCTGCCCACTGCCTGAGCGAGCCTGGCTGGCCAGCGTGGCTCACCCTCCCGCTCCCACAGCCCACACGCCAACTCAGATTTGTTTACGGGCTTTGGGCAATCTAGTAGGAAGTGTGATTGCAGAGCATGTCTTTGCTCAAGAGCTGGCATTTCCAAATTGTGCAGGTGTCTTCAGGCGTGTGGTGCAAGAGAACAAGGCCATTCCGGAAGAGGAATGTTGCAAAATGCAAGGCGCTGCCTGGGAGTTGTGTTTGCTTTAATCAGGGCTTTATACGTGGCACTGTGTGGGTCAGGCTGGCACCCCTCCCACCACGCCCCAGGACACAGCTGTTCTCGGGATGAACGAGGTTCTGCCCGCCCTCTGGTCTGGGCAGTGCAGCCAGGACCTCGGGAAGCTGCCCCGTGTGTGTTTTCAGCAGGTTGGCTGCGGTAGCAGAGTGACAGGTCTGGATGAGTGCTCCTGGTGGCTCCGCGCCTAGGGTACTGTGGTCTTTCCTGGGCAGCACTATTTAATGATGGTCACAGGAGAATAGGAAGTGTGTTTACTGCACCTGCTCTGGTGGTGACCAGATCCGGCTGGTGAGCGAGAGAATCTCGGGTGCCAGTGTTACAGAAAGCTCAGGGCTAATGTAGATCAGGACAAACACAGTTAGAAAGTTCTGAGTTGAGACTGTGTCCCACGCAGCTTCTCAGTACCCGTGGGCTGAAATTCAGACGTCTTCCTTTGATCTGCTAGGTGACTGGGCAGATGCCAACTGACCTCACCTGCCTCCAGCCAGCATTTATTGCTCTCACTTGCAAAGACCCTGCCCTCTTTCTAGGCCTAGCCTAGTCTACCACAGGGCCTTTGCACTGGCTGTACCTTCTGCTACATTTTCCCATGGCCACCACCCTGTCATCCAGGTTACCGTCCCAATACCATATCCTCCATGAGACCTTCCCTAACAATCAGTTTTGTCCCTTCTCCTCGGATATCAGCCCCTCAATCACATTGTATTTGTTTTCTTTGTAACAGCATCATAATCCACTTTGTTTATTAAGAATGCTTTTATTATCTGTTGCCCATGTGCTACATGTCACTGGTACCTAAAACAGTGCCCAGAATACAGTGGGTGCTCTGGAGATGTCGTGATGCTTCTGATGGTAAGACCTTTTCCAGGCAGGAGGAGCCGCTGCCTTGATAGGGGCTAAGTTGACTTTCTTTCCTGGAGCCTCAGTGTAGGCTGCTGGCTGACACTGGGTAGGAGCAGTGCAGCACTCTGCAGAGGAGCACCTGTAATCTGCCCTGTTCATTTCCTGGGGCAGCTGTGACAACGTGCTGCATCCCGGGTGGCTCCGAATGACAGAATTTTGTCCCTGGGACAGTTAGTGTGGCCGGGCTGCTCCTCCGGCCTCAGGGTGGCGTGCGTGCCTCCCTCAGGCCCTGGGCTCTGCCTCTGAGGCCCTGTGGCCGCTCATTCCTGAGCTTCTGGCTGCACATCGTCTGCCTTCCCTCCTCGTGCTGCTGTCCCCACTTCTGAAAAGGGCACAGACTGGACTCGCCCTCCTCCCGGCAGCCTCAGCTCAGCTCAGCTCAGCACCGTAAGACCGTTTCCCAGTAAGCACATGTTTGCAGGCTAGGACGTTAGTGTTTATCACAGGGGGACACAGATCACCCATGACAACCTGCGCCTTTGGGATCCACTGACATGTAGGGGAGACTGTCAGAAGGCACTGGTTACTCTGAGGGATGGTGGCCGGGACTGAGTATTGTGGTGGGAAGCATCGTGGTATTTACGTTTCCCAGACAAGTGATGGAGTGATCTGCCCGAGGCCGGGCTGGTCACTGGCAGAGGTGGCCAATGCGTGCCCACTTCCCCATTGCACACCGTGGCTCCCGCCCTTCCTGAGAGTGGGCTGGTGTCTGCAGGGCTCTGAGCCATCACTTCCTTCCTGGGCTCTTTCCTGATGCTGCCCATGTGGTGGAGGCATCGCTCCTTGGTGCCGCCAGCTGGGACCTCCGGCCACTTCACAGAGGAGGCACTGATGTCAGGAGAAGCCGAGCCCAGCATGCCATCTGCAAGGGTGGGCTGAGGGGCTGAGGTGCTGAGCGCTGTGGGCTGGAGCTGACGGTGCTGGCAGGGGGTGGCCCCCCAGGGGTCACAGACCTTCCATGTTTGGGGTGAGCAAGCAGGGGATGGAGCAGCTGCCTGCATGCTGGCACCTCCGCCAGGACCTTCTCCTTGCCCTCCATCTCGCCTCGGCACTCCCCAGGAGTCCCCTTGGTTTAATTCATTTGACTTGCTTTTGACTTATGCAGCTGGTACTGGAATCAGAGTACAAAGCTCCAGTGAAAGCAGTTCCTGCCTCTGCCTTTCCTCCCTGCCCCCAGATTCTCCTCCCACATTGCACCTTCATTGCCAGCACCTCGGGTCTTCTTCCTGAAACCCAGCGTTCTTTCAATGTCCCAGTTGCTACCGTCGGCTTCCCTCCTTCGTGCTGTGCTGTCACCCCTGCCCTTCCTTCCTCCTGTCTTCCAAACCCTCCTGTACCTGGAGTTCAGAGCTGGCGACAGCACGCAGCTGAGGAGCGTATGAGGCAGGGATGTGCTGGCACGTGGGGCAAGTACGGGGACAGTGCCTCCACGGTGTGGCTCTCTGAGTGCGCAGCCCCACCCAGGGAGGTGGCCCCCACGAGGGACAAGGACAG